TATATATATATGTTGTTCTTTTGCTTGTCTCTGTTCTATTTCTAGTCTTTATAAACTGTTAAAGTTAGTATTTACAAAAATATATAAAGTAAAATATATAAATAGAAAATAATTTCTCTAAAAATCATAGCTTTGTTTTTTAATTTTTTTTGTTAATAATTTTAATTTCAAAATTAAACTTGACGCGAAGTTCTACCGTGCCTTTTGATTGTGTCTAATTTGACGTCTTTCTGCGGCCATATTGATGTGTGCCCGTGGTATCAGACACTACCTCCCTCCTTCCTCTTAGCTTACCACCCCGCAGCAAAACGCGCCGTCCATTAGGTCCATGGATTAAAAGGATCACCATACTTTTGACGTTGGATGGTGAATTTCTCTGTAAACATTAGTATATATCTGCTCTTTATTTCTCAAGAAAGAAAAGACTTTTTCTGTAAACATTGTTGCAGATCAGAAACAATGTGAATTTTTTCGCAAACTTCGTGCATCTTAAGTTGCGATACGATATGCGACGACAGATATTTATCGATCGCTACATTTCGATTCAACTTGTTTATCACAAAGCTGTTTCACGAATCTGACTGACTAATCACTTCGATTCGGAATTTATTTTGCATATTGAAAAAAATAATGTCGGATCAAGATATCGAGACAAAAACGGACGCACAAGGCAAGAATAGAAATAAAATTTATTGCACATTTTGCCCTTCAAAAATGTTAAATGCGGAAGCTGCTAAATTAACGAAAATTGAGGTTAGTTTCTCTATACGGTGTATATAAGTGTGTTACATCTCATAGAAATTGGAGAAAAGGTTTTTATGAGATTGTTTTTATTTTATTATACATTAATTTAGTTATAAGTATATGCTATTTTTTATTGCTAGATACAAAGTATCTTTAGTACATTTATGTTTTACAACACACAGGTTATTTATATAATCTAACCTAAGAATTTGTTTATTGTTTTCCGTGTATAGTACTCCATACACTTTATTTTGTATACATTTTAAAAATTTGATGAAAATAGTAGGCAATTATACAAGTAAGAGAATAAAGGATAATTTATGTATAATTACTTAGTTAATATATAAACATTTCTCTTTGTAGTTTGTGCTACCTTATATTCACAGCAAAGGAAGTGGCAAAGCTGATCAGGAAGAAACTATTTCTGACTACTGGTTAGTGGAAGATATGTACACTTTTGAAAATATTGGTGTTTCACACACGGTAGGCAATGTCAAATACCTAGCTTGTGCCGATTGTGAAAGGGGTCCAGTGGGATGGCATGATTTGTCCACCAAAAAATCGTATATTGCATTGTGTAGAGTAAAACATGAATAAATAGGGAGAAATAAGTTTATTAATAAAATAATTTTTATAATTTTATATAATGTAAAAACTTATACAAGCATCAAATGTACAGAGAGAAAAAGGGAGAAAGAGATACTCTAGTTATACAGATATAAACTAATATTTATGAGATTGTGGATACATATAGAATGTTTTATATATATTATAAAAGCTACTCCATAGAAAAATTCATATTCAAATAAAATAACATCACTTTTTAAATTAGTCAAATTGCTTTACTTTCAACAAAGTCCCGATTTTTCTATATTTAAACATTCATTAAAAGAATCGTATTGTTTTTTGCAACGTTTAAGCACACAAAAAAATAGTTTTTCTTTTTAATTGCAATTATCAATTATTATCGTCGAAGCACGCCGTGATGGTACGCGAAAGTAATAATTCAGTGAAGAATAAGAAGATTAACAGTTTGCCGTTTTGAGAATTTGATATTTAATCACAATATTATGTTACAAACACAGCCAATAAATCAGATAATCAATCGTCGATACGATGTAACGATCAATATAAATTTCGCTTACGATTAAAAATCATCTGTACTTAATATATGCATTTGTGTGAATCAATTTTATACCAGTACATATCGCTGTTTCATACCCCGTTTCGAATATCACAAACGGGCTACACGTCGTATATATATTATTATATTGATACAATTAATCGTACGTGAAATGTTATACGCGCGTGAGTAATGTTTATACATATATACCTCTGAACGCGTGTGTGTGTGTCGCGTATATATGTATTTAAATATATTATCTGTAATTTTTGTTGCAAAGCCATTTTGCGATTTGGGGAGAGAGCATAAAAACTCATTTATTAATATTTTTTTCGTTTACTCACGTCTGTGCATCATTTTTTTGTTACCTCTTTTTTTTATATAAACCGTCTTTAATATTGCAAAAATAGTCACGTGTTCATGCGAGCCGCGTACCGTGTCGGCATTTTAATAACATCACAGCTTTACCATTTTTTTTCTTAGAACGCGCGTCACTAAAGCAAAACGCAGTAATCTTTATGCTTGACGATGCGGACGTATATATATAAGTATTACACGGTGTGTGCGGATTTCTAATTTAATGAGGGAACAATTATTCTACGATAGTTTCTCACATAAACTGATGACAAAATATGATTTGAGCAGAATAGTAAGAACGGTATAATCGTAAAAATTAATAAATAACTTTTGTTACAGAAAATAAATACAATTTCGAAGTTAAGTCTTCCGAACCTAACGTAATAAATAAATAATGACAGCTAGCAAACGCACAATATTACATGTGTCGCTGAAAATGTTTGATTTGGACAGAGTTGTATGTGAGACAATTGTTTTAATTATAACTTGCATAACATTTAAATCTTGAACATAAAAGTACAATATTTGTTTATCTAAATATAGTTTCCTTGTTTTTTTTTGTTTTTCTGCATCATCACCATCACCGTCATTGCGTCGACTTGTTTTGCGCGCGCGTGTATAATTAGAATATATACATATTTATATATAACCGCGTGTATACGCGTACATATGCAGGATCGTCTAAAAAACGTGTAGGTTTGTGAAATTCTATTTGTCCTAGGTGCGTGTTTGAAATTTTTATTGAGAAAATATGGAAATATGGAAATATTTTTTTCTTTTCAAACAAAATGCGGAACAAATGAAAAAATGTGAATAACTAAATGTTACACATATTCGATTTTGCAATAAATTCGTTAGTATTTTGGCGAAATAAAAGTTTATAAAACAAGAGAGAGAAATAGAGATAGAAGGAAGAATTACACGTGAATTTTCATCTACATATGTGTTCAATAAATGTGCAGTGTACATATAGGCAATATTATTTTCGCATCCGCATGATATCGGTTAGCGAAATTCGAGCAAATGTTTGTATAGATATTTGTCAAAAGGTTTCAATGTTTTATTATGTTGTATGCGAAGTATTCATATAACATTTTTTGCAGATATATATATATATATATTTCTAGTATATATATATTCACTTTACTTATTTATTGTTATTTCGGATATGTACGTGATTGTACGCACGATTGTACGATATTGTATTTAAAATTTCTCTTTTTTTAATTATACTTTAATGTAATGACGTAATATAAAATATATCTATAAAACAATCTTTATCTCACTCGAAAACCGATAATCCGTTTATCACGCGGTATATAATTTTACTTATGTATACGCATGCCAACGCAGAAGTTTTCTTTCTACGCTGTATAGCAAGTGCAGTGAAAAGGTACAAAAATAACAAAAATAGAATCAGATAGATTGGAGAAACACACTCATACACACATACATACATACATACTTTTATCTCTTTTCTATCTTCTTTATATGTAGCATAATTTACGTATAGCATAATTATGTTACGTTGACACAGAGATTCGGTGTGACATTAGAAAAAGAAGTCTCGAAATTTTTTTGCGCTCTTACTAAACATATATGTATTTTTGCATATCTATCTTCTTCTCAACGAGATTTAGTAATCCGCGCCGCGCGCGCGCGCGCGGATCGCTCTATATACACCGTACAATTTCTCTCCTTTCGGCCTGGCTTATTTTATACTTTTTCGGCGTGATTTTTTATTTTCAAAAGCTACGAGATACATATCATTTGTTAACAAAGCCTTTAGTCATAGATATATGACAGTTTTAAGTACTTTTTTTCACATTTATCCTTTATGCTACGACGGTGATAGTAACGTCAATTAATCAATTTTTGGTATACTAACAAAGAATACATAACAGTAACAGGGTCAGAAAGATACAAAATCTAACAATTTTAAAATATACAATTTTCCATATCAGATACTTTTCTATATTACCAAAGAAATTTTTATTAATACTTGTTTTTAGTTTATTTTGTTGCATTACGAGCCATTCAGAGAGTATTAGAATTTTTGCATAAAGAAGGCCTTATATGCGTCTTTACGTTTCTTACTATAAATGCTAAAGTTTCGTTTAACGCACACGCATTTGAAGAGTTTCGCAATAAGAATTTTTAATAAACAAGACGTTCTTGCATACAAATATAAATAATGCAGGATGTCTAAAAAAGTGCCGCTAATGATACGTTAGTAAAGTAGCCGTAGTAATAACTACTCAGTGTCTTGGTCCGTGGAGCATTAAACTTTAACGACATTAATTAATTAATTCGCTCATCAGCATTCCTATCATCTAATAGTTTCGTATTCATTTACGGCGCGAAATGTATACAAAAGATAGCAGTAGGTTCAACATTTTGTTGTTCTTGTTTCGCATAGCTGCCAGGCTCAGGATATAAATGTTTCCACACATCTGAGAAAACAATTGAAAGATAAAAATAATCGTAAAAACGGGTTGCATGCGTGGTAAAAATTATTGATAAAAATTAATTCACAAAGATTTCCATTTCCTAAAGAATTTTTTAACCGACGAGCCTAGCTACGCAACGAACGCAAGACAACTCTCCCTCGTCTGTCCGATCGATCGATTTATTTTACCCGTAAACGTAAGTCCGATTAATTTTAAATAGAGCATGTGTCTCTCTCGCAATATTTGGCTCTACGCAATATTCGTTGTGTCGATTGCATATACATATTTGTTTTTTTTCTTTATCAGTGTCATCAAGAAACGATGAGGTAGCGGTGCGGTAAAAATTGATTGCTATCAGATCAGGCAAATTCTGTATTTCACGGAGAAATATTTTTTTTTTTTTCGTTTTTTTTTTATTTTAATCGCGATTCACAGGCTTCTGCAAAAAATTTAACGCGAACGAAAAAGACGAATTGCGAAGAGAAGTACGTAATAAAGTACGTATATTTGCGTGTGAACAAATAGAGTGCAATTTTATATGTCGTACAATTTCAAAAGAAGCAAGAAATACAAGTGCAACGATCTACGATCCGTAATTTTTCCGCGTTACCATAAGAAATATATCTTCTTGTATCATATTACATCATATCTACGTGGTCAACTTTTACACAGTGCGTATACACAGATGGTCTAGATAGAAATTGTCGTTTTTAAAACGCCACGACCCGTTGTCGAGTTGTGGCTATTTCTTCGTGTGTGACACTATATAGCGAGGCGCAAGCACTGAATATAGCAACGTTATAATTTCTCCTGTATTCGGGAAACCTACCGAATCGACACGTTTCTCCGAGAAAGGACATGTGCTGCGTGTTCTCTCTTTCTTTTCGGCGCGTAATCATGATTTAAATATAATTCTACAATAAATATTAATTGCGCAAGCTTCGCGTCGATTTTTTTTTTTCTTTGAGTTTCCGTAAAGAAGTGAACACGCAGAACACGTGTTCGCGTGATTGGCTCTTGACGTAACGATTTTTGTCCCGTACGATCCGCATGAGAAAGAACGGTCGCGAAAGAAGGTACTATTTCCTCTCGAGATAAAGATGTCTCGCGCGAAATTTCTACACGGTTACGTATTGCAATCCTCTTTTATATATTACAAGGTAGAATATACATTACATTTTACGTATGACGTGTGACGTGTGTCGCGCGATCGTACTCGACGCGCGCGATATTACGTTTTCCACGAGTGTACGACACTTGCTTTACGATTTTCACCCTGCTCTCCTTTGCCGCGTCGCATAAATTGCACCCGTATTAAGTACGCACGTTCGCCTCTCATGCCACAAGCAATAGATTTTGTCTGCAAAATTTAATTATGGCAGTGCTTCGAATTATAAGATTTTCAAATGGACGCGAACGGATATTTGCACGATCGTGCGAAACTCTGATTGGCCAAGCGTTATATTTAGAGTGGATTAAGAATCGCGATGAGATATTTTAACGCGTTTTAATTGTGCGAACCCGGATGAAGGGAGCAGGGTTGTTCTTCTCACACACGAATGGACGAAATAGGTTCTATATAAAAAGTGGTCTCTCTATCGCTTAAAGATACAATATATCTCTGATTCTTTTTTTTATTTTATTTTATTTTATTTTATTACGCATATAGAATTTGCAACTGTGAGACATGCAAACGATCTAATTACAATGTGCACAGCGTTTCCGAACTTTCACGCGGAACTCGAAGTTTATTCCTGTTTTGCGATGTCACGTTCTTGATCAATTTTGCAAAATCCTAAAGGCGTATTATCTTCGATGGCTTATACGCGCTCACAAAGAGCTCTTTTCATATTATTGCGTGATCTACGGTTTTACTATATTGCGAGAGTGTTTTGAAAGAAACCGCGATATATATTCGTACAAATATAGTTTTTATGATCGTCCGTTTTATATCTTTCTTTTTTTTTCCATTTTATATAACTCGTTTGACTGAGGATCGCGCATTTGTTTCTAGTAGTGAAAGATACTCTTTTGTGAAATATATCTGTCGAACAATTTGTTGTATATCAATTCTTCAGAAAATTGTGTAACACATTTTCAGAGATAGTTTTTCACGTAAATTTATTGTTATCGAGTTGACAGTTAAGCGAAGCGGTTTGAACAAAGTTTTCAACTGGAACGACGTCTCGACAATGTCGATATGCTTCATTACGTGATCTTCCAAGAAAATAATTCTGCTTTGCTCGTGCGGTGGAGAAGAGTTTGAATTATTTAAAGAAATAAGATATACATATGCTTACCGGTGAAAATACTTTTTTGGCAGTCAGTTGTCAAAGAGATCTGTGTTAACGAGTAGTACATATGTATATTTACAGTTCACACAGGCTCGATTTCTTGGGCGTCGGTTAGCAATAATTGTGGTCATCCGAACGTTCTTCTGAATAATCATGAATTACAATAGAAATATTAAAAGAAGATGTTAAAATTATTTTTTATTGCAAAATTAATACAAGAAAATTCGAGTTTCTACCGAGTTGAGTTAATATACACGTGTTGTCAAATCTTGTTTCTTCCTCAACTAAGAAGAATCGGTGAACCAATCGGCTAACCGTCGTTGGAGTTATCGATCCTTGTAACGTGTCTTTTTTTTTGGAATCTGAACGTGCATTTGTCGTTCATATGTATGTATACGCGCGTGCGTTTCATGTCTATATATGTATGAAAAAAAAAAAAAACACTATTACGCATCCCGCAATAACGATAGCGAGACGATCGTATATATCGCGGTGTTAAACAATTACACGTTACATCTACTGAATATTTCGAGTAGTCTCGTCGCGATTTATCGAAATATTACTTTCGATATATACATATGTACGTATATTACGTTCGGCTCGCGTTTTCTTCTCTGCTGTCTTCTTTTCTTGTTTTAATATTGCTGGAGTAATGGAAATTTGTAATTCGATCAGTATAAACGTACGTACGTATGCGCCCAAAGGCGGTTTTGTTTCTTTATCAACTCCGTGTCCCTTCTTAAAGTCCGTAATATTATAACAATAACTTTGTAATCGTAGTAGCAGGTAATTACGATAATAGAATAGCAACCATAACGGTATGTAGTATATAATATTAGTTGCAATAATAATAAAAGTAGTAGTAATAGTAGTAATAATAATAGTAGTGTGTAGCATAGCGATTTTTTGTGCCTAAAATAGTATGCAGGCTACACGCAGAGATTTTTTTTTCGAATTAGCCGACGGCGGCGCAACGTGTGCTCGATGATCTGCTAGCTTGGACGTCTTCGGATGTCCTGGATATCCTCGGAGAGAAAGAAAAAGGGAGAGAAAGAGAGAAAAGAGAGAGCACAATGTGTTCGTTTACTTTCAGCAATGTTAAAGTTTGTTTTTGTGCAATGCACGTTACGCGTTGTCCACGAATCGTTTCTTCGTCTTCTAACGTGTTGACCTATTGACGCATCGTTTCTACTTGTATAAAGCGAGCAAATGTGTCCGCAGCACTTTATCTTTTCCACTTCTTCCCACATTGATCGGCAATTCTTCTCCGTTTCCGTGATACGTTACGTCGTGAGTAAATCGAGTGTAAACTAGGCGAAATAGACTCTTCGCTTCTCTGACTTAACTCAGCTTTCTGTCTGCAGCAGCGTCTATTCGATACGTAAAATGAGCCGTTCACGATGCAACGATGGTGTTCTCTCGATGCTCGTTACGTTACATGAATGGATCACGTTGCGCGGACACTCCGCGCGATTGTTGGCCATCTTCCGATACGAAAGACGTTTTCACATTTGATTTGCGATTTGCACGAACGTTTCGCAAGTAGAATCAAATAACGAGAGAAGGATCGAATGGTACGCGAATCACGTATCTTCCAGCGACGTTCGTGGCGACGAGATATTTTTCTGCTGATCGTGCTACGTAGCAATATAGTGAAGTTTACAACATTAAATTACGTTTGATCATCATCGAGCAAGCTAAGCGTCGTTCTCTCTGCTTATGCGTGTTGGCCGAAGCGTTCGTCGACGGCACCTTATCCTAGCTAAAGAGATAAGAAAAGGGAAAGGAAACGGAGATACAAGTGTGTAGTAACGTACACGGATGTTGCGCATGATCGCGGAGCGATCGCAGAATATATCTATACTTCCACTGTAGAGAAGTGTTTTCAAGAGCTATCACACGTGAAAGAAAGATGAAATATAACTGGTAGGAGACCAATCCACATAGGTGCTATTTTATCTTCGCGTCGTCGAATTACCGGTTCGCATTTCCTTCTTCGGAGAGAGAACTTTCACATCCGTCAAAACATTCCCACCCGATACGTCGGAGCTAATCGCTTTTTGTCTCACTCTTCTGTTACAATCGAAATAACAACACGACCTTTCGCTGGAGAGTCTAAGACTTTTCTTTCTCTCCTCGTATCTGAATTATTACTGTGTGTTATTTTTGTTTTTTTTTTTTTTTTTGGAGAAGATCCAAGGTCATGCAAACTTATTATTCTGCCTACTTGAAAGTTTTTACTCAGGGAAAGGAAAACTCGAACCCACCGTAGATACAATCTCCGCGGCCGAGCATCGTTGTCGCTTATTCGCGCGAGGCTTCGTTGTCGCTCACACCAGCAGCGATGAGAGATCTCTCGAGGGATCGTTGTACGCCACTCTACGAGGTGCCCTTATAGTGAATGAAGAAGAAAGTGAGGAACATGAAATAGGCGACTGGAAAGGTGATCCTGGCTATCACGTCGATCGTTTTCGCCACTCTAATCGGATGCGGTGGCTCTTTTTTTCTCAGCTGCAAAAAGAAAGCGCCTCGTTACCGCGTTACCAGACTTTCAGACTTCAAGGCACCAACACGATCGTGTCGTATCTATCGATCGTTCGAAACGTGTTGTTGTAAGGTTTGGTAACACGGGCGGGAGAAAAATTATATAAGAGCGAACATATGTAACGCAAGGCTAATATATTGACCGTAAACGCAATTTTATTTTTTGTAAAGTTTATAGATATTTTACGTTATTTAAAAGTTACTTAAATCTTTTTTTTGCAAGGATATTTTTACACACAGTTGATTATTAAGACGTATGTAAAATACGTCTCCACTTACCTCAGCGGTGCAACCGTTAGTTGCCGTGTGCGTGCAGGGATTAGGTCCACAGTTGGTGCAGGTGACAATCTCGTTCGGTCCAGTAGCACCACCGGTAGGAGCTCCGCCCTCCCGCTTCTTTTTACCCTGCGACAGGGTCTCCGTAGAAGAAACTTATATTCTCAGCGACAAAAAAAACAAGTCATAAACAACGATCCACCCTTTCGACTTGCTCTTTTTTTTTCTACGTTTTGTCCTTACAAAGTAGACTCCCTTTCCCCTCGAAATACCCCATATACATATGTACATGACGATTTTTTTGGACTTTTTACATTTCCTTCGTATATTTATGTAATGCTTCTTTGAAAATCTTTTTACATATAAGCGGATATATGCTTCAAGCGATTGTTAAATATGAAAAAAAAACGAAACATGTTACAGTATCGATATACGCGTTATATTATTAGGGTAATCGATTTTTTTCGAATATATGTAGTGATGAGAGTAAACGATCAAGTGGCGCGCGGTTTCTTATAAGCGTAAATATAACGTAAGCGTACTAAAGGCTTTGATGAAATAAAAAGGCGATTAAAAGCTTGCACGTAAAGGCATGTGATACTTTTGGAAAAGCTCACCGGAGACGGTTGTAAAAGTATCATTTTCATTTTTAAACCAACGAGAAACACGCTCGCTACGTTTCCGACATTATGGCAGCGTTTCGCTTCGACACGATCGTTACCGTTTTCAAAAATAAAAACGTCGAGTGGCCTCGATCGTTGAAAGAGGCTGATGGAAATTGCGAGCTGTCTGTCTCGCTTAAATGTAAATTACAGTCCTTGACAAATCAGGATCTACATGTGATGAATTTTGCCGTCGCAATCGGATGAATTCGCGCGCAGCGATACAGACCATAAATAAAACATAAACGATAAATCGATATACACCGGTATAAAAGAGTGAATCGTTGCTTTTCATAATATTTTTTTCAAACGTCCTCTCATATATGTATATATCAATCAACACTTTCGTGCCTCTGCGTATATAACTTACGAATTACATGCCGTATATAAACATCTACTTTGTTATGCTCCACATCGGACCCCGATTAAAGCTGTTATCACAGAAAATAAGGTGCCGCGCGCGCAAATCATTCGGGCGTGAATATTCTCTCTCGCCGCGATCTTATTGCTGTGAACTCAATCGTAAAATAATTTGTTCCGATGCGATTTTCCGGCTGAATAAACGTATCCGAGTTTATTCGAACAATTTGGACAACTTCTCCCGATTGACATGTTAAAGTAACACATTAATGTCTCTCCTACACGATGGTCGGTCCGATGTGCGAACATTAATTCTCGTATATAAACAAATGTACATTTTTCTAAACGATTTGTCTGACAGGATACTTCCTCGGATATATAAGATTTCCTTTACGGAATAAATCACGAACGGGGAAGTCCTTTTGCTTTTCTTCTCGAAGTTTTTATGGGAGGAGAAAGACGACGGAAGAAGTGCAGCAAGTAATTATTTCACACAGATGTAAATTGTATATAAAGTTGTAAAATATAAAATTGTCAAAATATGCCAGACCGAATTTGTTGTAAAACGTCAGTTTAAAATTCAGAATATTAACACTAAAATTACTTCTTTCTGCGCATCTTTCTCCGTGATCTCGCTTGAAAACGTTTGCGGTGAAATTGTGCGAATTTTCAAACGGATCCCCGCACCGCCTTGTTGCGTCTCGAAAGATATCTCGTCTCAAGCTTATGCTAATAAATGTGTGTTAAGCTTCAATGGGAATTAGTTCAATGGCAAAAGCAATTTATTGGTACCACAGTCAAAAAGATATGATATATATTTATAAATAATAATATATATAACGAGATGATAAATTTTCGAATTTGGTTTGTTACGCGTTTCGTGTCAATTTTCTTTTTCTCGCGCAAAATTAATAATCGTGATCTTGAATTCCGAGTCATAGTCAGAATCAGTTACAATAACTTGTTTTGTTATCCGCGCGTATATATATTCACACATGTAATTCTCTTGCACCAATAAAAAAATCTTTTTGCCTGACAAAGTTACGACGGGTCACAAAAGCCGCTCTTTTCTACTCTTGTCTCTTAATCGAGATAAGTGTTTATGCTAGAAAAGGTGTCGAAACGCAGAAAGCATTTGAAAACGTGAGAATTATATCAGAGAATTACTTTCATGTTCTCTCTCGGCGGCATGCCAACGTTTCAAAGCTCTTCTACTTTAGAAATGCTGTCTGCAGGTAATGATAAGATAATGTCGTTAACGCCAGCGGCCATGATATTTCCAGTTAGAACAGACTTCTTCTTGTGTGTGTATCTTGTATATACATTCGTCATATTAGATCGTAACACTCGTTAAGTGAAAACAAAAAAAAAGAAAAAGAAAAAGAAAAATAAGAAATATCCGAGCATAATCAATAACACTTTGCTGGGGACACGGAATCGTAAATATGCGTAGCTTGAAAAACGATGTTATACGAAAAATCCTGGTCGCTGGTAATAAAGCTGAAGCGTAGTAAAAGTAATCGATATTTTTAATGAACGCCTTCGCAAAAATGAAAACAAACACAAGGACACAATTATTGGATTCGAGATATTTCGTGAAACACAGGTGAAATTCAACATTGTCAAATTATAAACTGGGGAGAAAAGGAAATTAATATTTTAAAACAACTATATATATAATACAAAAACTTCTTTAGTACAGCGAAGTAATAAGGCCAAGTTAATTAAAAAAGAAAAAATTTTTGTTACGTATATATGCTTTGTAAAATATAAAAAGCGAGATGAGAGTTAGCGATTGAAACAAATAATTGAGCGTATCTTTTCTCTTCGTCAATGAGTAGAGATCTTTTTGTTACAAGCGACGATAATTTATCCTCGCCCAGGCATCAAAAATATCGAAGTATTACAAGGCATAGATGTCGAGGTGTTAAGTTTAAGCATGCATCCATGCACATGTATGGAAGCGTATCTCATGCATTTCATGCGTAATACGTACATTTTACCGATTCTCCCGTCATCGATATAAAACGCAGGCCAGATGCGAGAGAGGTGGGCAGGGTCGGACGAGGATGGGAATTTATACATAACGAGTTAACAAGAAATTCTCTATATACATGTATATATTGCCATACTCCCTATTTTTATATGAATGCACAGAGAGCAATTCGCAGCCTTTTATACAGTTGAGAGTTTAAAATAACAAAAGCTATCGAGTTAGTTTTAAATTTGATTACATTTTGGCTTGACAAATCAAACATTTTCTCTTCAAAATAATAATCAAATATATTGCAAATACAGAGAATGTGAAAAAACTCTCTTCTTCTTGTTTTATCATAATATTGAAAGAGAAATGGAGTCTTCCTCGTTCCATAACTGTGCATTTATATATATATATATATATGTATATATATATATGTATATACATATATGTATATATATATAACATGCACTTGATTGTAGAATAAGAACATGCACTTATATCGTGCATTCAAAGAGAAAAGTCGAGACAAAGGCTGAAGAATAAAAGATGTTTGGTAAAAGAGCACTTGGAAAGGGAAAATAATTTAATATTAACAAAGTGCCAGAGAAAGTATTCACATGAACATGTCTCTCGTAGAGATTACTCTAATGTTGTTTTCACGAATGTTGTTTTCACTATATTTTCATAATTTTGTAATTTATTTATGAAATACTTTTCCGCTTTTTTCTCTATGCTGACACCTTGTCAATAAGACAATACGAAAACAGAAACAGAAATAAATATACAAAATATATAAACTAGGGAGGAGGGGAGGAAAATGAGAACGAGAGCAAGTGTCTGTGTCTGTACGTATGTGTGTTAATGTTTGTATGATTTTTTTAGGACGCAGTTAGGACCTTGCACGTGCGTTGTCTTCGTTTACTTTTTCTCTTTAATTGATATATTTGTCGACGTAATTACACATTTAGATAAAATTTTATATACGCGCGTCGTAAAATTAAATTTATTTTAAATTTTTACATTTTTTTTTCGTAGTTGTCTTCTCCGTGTGATCTCAACTCCAATCAATTGACGAACCAAACAATTATTTTGCAATTTGCGACAGCCAGGTACGCGCGAAGTCCGTGACCGCGCCCTAAAGTAATGGGGGGTCTTACCAAGGGGCTGGCCAATATAATCCCTATCCTGCTGAGCACCGCTGGGAGCCGCTGCAACATCACAGACACCAAACAAAGAGACTTACTCACCAACGTTTCCACCAACCAAATTCTTACTAATCGTGTTTATAACAGAAAACAGACAGACAGAAAGATAGAGAGAGAGAGAGAGAGAGGGAGAAAGAGAGAGAGTGTGAGAGAAAAGAGATAGGGGGAGCAGAGAGAAAGAGAAGAAACAAAAGAAAGAGAAACAGTGAGAAGAGCATGTTTCGAGTTTCTTTTTGTTTTTGTTTTTTTTTTCTGATAATCTCTCTTTCACGATTCTTTTGTTTTCGATATCTCGATCCTCGCTTTGTGTTCCGCTGTCATTAAGCCTTTCTGAGCAACCACAAAAATGTGTACTAGCGTGGTATTCCACCTGATAAATTAATCACAAAGGATTACGTATTCTTTTAGTCTTTTATCCTTCTATTTGAAGTTTTTCTGACAGCCTCTTTGTATCAAGGTATTACATGATAGTGACGTTTAATGCCAACATCGTATATGTACGTAATATGGTATTTCTACTTATTTAGTGAAAGCAAATAAACAAATTGTTTAAAACTAACAGCAAAAAAACTAATATTTCTAAATCTTGTTTAAAAAGGAATATTATTAAACAAATTTTATTTTACAAGATTAGAAGCGTATCTGAATACGTAGAACTACGCATATTCTAGAAAAACTACAAGAGTCAAATGTTATAGAAAGTATATTCTGAAATGTCAAAACGCTAAGAGATAAAGAGGAAAGCTTGTAAATAGACGAGAAAATTAAAGACGGAAGAAGAAAGAAGTTGGGAAAACGAGAGAAAAGTAGAAAGCGAAAGTATGAACAAAAATGAAAGAAAATGAAAGAAATTAGGGCACACAGAAAGAGGAGGGGAGAAGAAAGAGAAGTTAAACGGCGGAGACATGCATATTGCAGCCTCTTTCGAAAAGAAAATAATGAGCACTCTCGAAGGAATAGCGCGCTATTATTGCCAGTGGTGCTCCAACTTGTCCCATGACAGGCTATCTATTTGAGACACAGGCAGAGATCGTCTTTCCACATTTCTTCTTATGTGTTTTTTTTTTTGGATGCTTTTTGTGCGTCAAGTATAAAAAACATTAAACGTGTTACAGCTAATGAGAACAAATAGTCGGACACGTGTGTCATCAAACGTGTTTCGAGGATCGATCGATCGTCGCTAAAAAAAAAAAATACATATAATAGATATACTATACGCATCCGCGCGCGATTCTTTCGCGACAACTTTTACAGCTTACGAAGCGCATGATCGAAAAATTTGGCAAAAAAGAAAATAATACTCACACTCTCTGGACAAAAGAAACGAAAATATTGTACGAATTGAAAGAAAACTATATATATGTGGGTAATTAAAAGATCTTGAGAGATGCAGAAATTATGTAGAAAAAATCATACTGTGTTTTTGTGCAAGGTCACGCCAACAAATTCATATGTGCAGGATGTAAACGCGATAAAATAACGAGCGGCATATCAAGAAGACATCGCAAACATATCGTGTGGAACATCGCATTTTAATACATATTATAAGTCTGTTCCTGAGAAAAATTCTCAGAATTCTAAATACTAAAGCTAATAACGTGATTGGTTGTCAAAAATTAACACAACCCATAGGTGTTTTCATCGCGTTCACATTAGCAGAGAAATCTTTTGATCGCAAGTCAATGAAAGAGACTAAGTCAGGTGATGAATGAGATGTCCCGATGTTCTGAGATATACGATGAACATAAGTTTACCTGGCGTTTATTCCGCTTTTCGGTTCGAGATTTACGTATATAAAATATATCTTTTTTTTTTTCTCGTCTCAATATACAATTCCTGTGAGTTCATTTCGGCCGATGAAATCGGAGAGTAAATAATCGCGACTGTGGTTTTTTTTTAAATAAAATTAAGCTCGACGTTAAGATTTCACGGAAATCTACGGTCTCTCAATTTGCTGCGGAGAGATTAATTTCCCTCTGACAAGATCTCTCTCTCGTACACTATCGATATCGGATATAATCTTCATCTAATAACAGTGTCAGCATACTATCTATCATCACGTCGCGAAAATCGTAACTTTGAGATATAATATCGGTTAGATGTCATTTTGAATATGTCCGTGCGCGCGAACATGGGAGTCAGTATATTTATTTATCGTAGCGTTCAACACAACGACAATTAATAGTCTCTCTCGCTCGGATGTCGATATTTAGAGAGCAGAGAACAATTAATAACTCCTCTGCAAAATAAATGTCTGATCGCTTATTTTGCATGAAAGAGGATTATCGGGACCGGTTTAAAATCGATTCTGTTTTGCAACATCCTCGTACACGTATTTGTGTGCACGCATTAGAAAATTAATCGTACGAAAATTCAACAGCCCGAAGACGTATCAGTAATGTGTCGCGCGCGCGTGATAACGCGCGGTCAGCTGTCATTCTCTCTTTACTTTAAACCGGTCCCGAATGTTACATTTATCATAAAAAAAAAAAAAAAAAAAGCAATTTATTAATATATTCGTATCAATTAGTCTGTTGTTAATTGATATTAATAGCGCGAAGAAGGCAGTACGGCTCCATTTAAATTCGCGTCGTTAGGAAATATCCGTGATCGGGAGAGTATTGTTTTGTATATATATATATATACATATGTATATATATATATATATATGTATGTATATATATATATATTTGCGTTGTGTTTTATATATATTTGCGCCGCGTTTTTTGGACAAAATTATCGAGAGGGACACGTCAATCAGCAAAGTACCTGGGTGACGGGGTTCTCTCCCGGTCGATAGACAACATTGTGCATCGGTCGTTTGCGGCCGACGTAATTCACGCAGACGAACTCGAGAAGACTCGCGTAGATAAAGCACATGCACACGCCGTCCCACACGTTCATGGCAGTCAGATTCGAAACGACGGGCAGCGTTCCCCGGAAGCCATTCGACGTGGTGAAAAAGTTGAGCATCGTTGTTACACCTGCAACGCAATCAGAAAGTACAATTTATCTTCCGAAGCATTTTCGGGGAAAAAATGTCAAAAATGTTGTGGATCTAATTTGCAAGTGCAAAGTGTTTTGTAAAATGTACTTGCGCAAAATACGTGAGATTTCTTTTAACATTCGGGAACTGTACACGTGTGAACGTATAGCGATAAACTTTTTGTACACACGCGTGATAAATTATATCTTTTTTCATGCACATGATACGTGATGCTAGCAAAAGATGTGGTTTCCGCCGACTCATTCCGAATTGGGATAAATCTGTCGATTTTGATAATGGTAGAGACGGTATTGTGCGCGCTTGTGCAGACTCACCGATCATCACTCGCGCCGGCACGGCATTCCATTCGAGCCAGAATGTGATGAAGGAGCTGGTTACCAGAATAATGCCTGGGATGAAAACCGTGGTGAAATAGAAGGCGCGATCCCGCGTGAAGATCAGATCCACCTTCAAGCAGCTGTAATTACCTAAGTCACGCACACGCAACTTCATTTTTCGTGCTGGCACAAGAGATTCGTATTTCCGAGAACAGAAAGAAGCTAGTAGCACTTTTATATATCATTTCAAGCAGTGACTATTAAACTGCTGACAAAAATCCGTATGTACTGATAACGAGAGTTATTTCATTTAATAAGTTACTTTTCATTTGAATAACTTGTTAATTTATACTATGTTAAAAAAGAAACACTTTGCCACATTAAAATATTTATACGTACAATAAATACAATTTATACATTTCTTCGGAATATAAAATAAGTATATTAGAGAAAGTAAAAAAAAAAACGTGTGAATTAGTATTGGATTTTTTTGCGTGACGAGCTCGTTCGGAAAGGCGTGACTTTTCGCAGATAAAAAAATAAAAAAGATGGAAAACAGCGTATACAACCATTTTGTTAATTTGTGGCCACCAAACCCCACATTCGCGGAAGCACTTCAAGCATTTGAGCAAAATACCAACGTGGGTCAGAGGAGGATTTGTCAGAAAAGGCTATAGCAGGCATGAAGGAACATCTACCGGGGTACATCAAACTAAATCACTTTTTCTCACAAAATCCTACGCTTAATACAATTTCTCACTTTCTTGTCCTTCACACTTTTTGACAAAAACAAATTTGAACATTTATTCAATAATACTATTTATTCAATAACATGACACGAACAACACCGATGGCATTCAATCATTGTCATTTTTATACTTCGTCAAGTAATTTGCAGTTCCTGTCTCGTTTGGACTTTTTTTTCTTGGAATTAACTTCAGGCAAGGTTCTCTTAGATATCCAATAATAAACAAATAGAAAATTAAAAGTGAAAACATTGTGCACAGATTTGGATCACAAACATGAAAAAAAAAGCGAAGCTTTTACCTGGACAACAAAAGTAACATCAATTTAAAAAATAATAATAAAATTTATTTCGAGATTATTCCAGTTTTGTTCGTAATTCATGTAAGATTAAACACGCAGGAACCTGCATATTGATGCATTATTATTTTTTATTACGTTTTCAAGAAAAATAATATAAGTAAAAAACAGAAGTAAACAAAACTGCTGCGTATGTTCCATAACGCTACAATAGAAGCTTGCTAATATAAACTAAGCGTTGATATACAAAATGTTTGAGGCATCTTGTATAAAACCATAACAACAACGTAAGCCAAATTAAACAGATGTACTTTATACTAGAAGAGATCTCGTTATTACTCCTTTTTTAAAAGGTTTGCAAAACGAAATACGTATTAGAGAATAAATAACTGCATTTGCAATGATTCGATTACGAATTTGGCAACGCTCGTACGGCTCTCTCCAACTACAAATTTTTCAACTGAGCGGTAAATTTTGTCGCAGTAGCGCGCAAATTGATATTCTATATACGAAGCAACATCAAAGTATCCACTACTGGGGTGTCTTGGCATCTCGAATTTTGGTAAACTTGGTCCTGTCTCTCTCTCTCACTCTCTCTCATTCTCTCTTTCGTTTCCTTTCCTTCATTAATATATTCTTCGTTTTAAATCGGATCTTTTTACAGAGGCATACGCGTTTCACGTTCGCGTCGAAGAGATAGGTGTGATTGTTACCTTGCTCCTCAAACCTGCGCTGGCACAGCGAGCACTTAGAGTCTCCAAATTCATCGAACTCGTCCTCGTCCATGATCTGTCCATCAGCTGCAACAGAACAGCCCACGATCTTCCTTCCTATTTTTTTCTTTTTTTCTTTTTTGCATTTTCCTACCGACTCTCTTTCTCTCTCTCTTTCTCTCACGAAGGGAGAGACACAAATCTCCACAGAGCTTGGAGGTAACGCTTGATCCACTGTACAATAATGTCACTGTAATGTCTTATGCGAGAAGGCAAGTTTATGTTTCTTTCCCGCGCGATAATAATTTTCACAAATCATCATTTTCCGAAAGTCACTCGTTTCATTTTGGATCTCGTTTAGTAAATCCCAATAATTAATTAGTAAATTAAAAACCAATGCAAAAGCCAATATTTGATGTTCAATAAATTTTCAGTGATTTTTTATCGCACGCGTCAATAAATTAAATGTATTAACATATGAAATTTTGCCTCGAATAATCTCAAATTATGAACAAAAAGAGCAATTATTGCGGATAACGTGAAATTTTCAGGTCGCGTGCGTTCACATTTTGCTCATTTATAATTACACAATAATCATACGATATAATTTAGATCTTTTGAGTTCTCTGTCTTTTGTTAATCGCATAACTATGTATCTTTTATTCTATATGTATAGATCAAGCATAACCGTTTTCCGCTATGGTTGAGTCCTTCAGGGTAAAGTGTAATCAAACAGATCCATCTTAACCGGGGTGGATAGTACTCAAATTGTTTTCTATGTGTACGTTCTAATTTTCTTTACATTTATAATGCTTGTAATATTGCATGTGCCAATCGGATGAAAAATTCACGGGACTTAATTTGGCGTTATATAATATTCGACTGGAAATACACATGTACAACAAAGAAGATACAAGTTTCAAAAATACGTGCCGCAAAAATGTTTCACACTTCAAACTCGAAAGCTTCTCTCGCGAACGACCAGAGGAAGCGATCTAAAAAGTTAGCTTGCCAGCAAACATCAAGTGTTTTCTCTAGACACACGTAAATCCTAATTTCTATGTTAGCAGAAGCTATATTAGTAATGAACAAAAAAGTTCCTCCGTGTATTATTAATAAGAAACGGAATTCTATTTCTGTCGTATATTACGAGAGACGGCAAAGTGGCGCGTGCGCGCGCGATGAGCTTCACGCCAATTCCTCGGATTTCTTCGCATGGTGGCTGTCGATACCGCACAGCAGCACAGGAAAACGGATCGATTTACAAGCACGAGAAGGCAAAAAAGAAAGAGCGTCCCTCAAGGACGCCCCAATGAAGAGTCATTGTGAGTAAGAAAGCCTCACCCCAAAAAAGCAAACCACAGCGGGCTCAGTTGAAAAGCGAGACAGGATCCAAGGTTGCCAATATGCATCTTCTAGAGGGCAATCTACGGGATCTATTTTCGTACATGTGTGTGTACACACTCGTTCAAATACTACGATATTAACAAATACGAGGGAAAAGAGATGTAATACATATATATATTCGATCACCTCTACGTCACATGCACAAGTGACTCTCTTTCTTGTGCATCTATACACAATTAAAAACGTATGTGCTGGTGTCGTTCCGTGCGTAATACTTCATAGATTTATGTACTTTTGACGTAGAAATAAGGAATATGCGTTTGAAGATTACGTTATTTTAAAAAATTTAAAATAACATATAAACACATATGTGAACGAGAAGAGGTTTTCAAAAAAGGGCAGAAAAACGCGAAAGAAATTTAAATATACTATTTATAAAGATTTAGAGATCTGCAACATATAATATATATATATCTGCAACATATATTATGTATATTTCATTTTAGAGTATAGGCACACTCATATTTGGTCAGTTAAATTGGAAGAATATTATTTGAGACAGCAAGCTCAAGATTTTAAGCTGAAACACTTTGCTATTAACAAAAAAAAAAAAATATATTCAATATAAAAGCACCGTACGTTCCACAAAGCAGAACAGAAACGACGCATAATTCTGCTACATTTATTTTCATGCATGCAAGTCCTTACCTTTTGTCAGTTTTTATTAAAACTAAGTGCTCCATATAAATATTGTTAATAACATTAACAAAATGTTTCCACATACACAAGTGCGACTAAAATAAATAACAAAAAATATTAACGTATTAAAAAAATCAGGAGTTAGTAAAAACAAAAACCTTTCAACTCAAGAACTTTCAACAAAATGTAAACAAATTATCTTTGTGATTAGTTTCGAAAATTAATAAAATCATTTTATGCCTGACTCATAACGGCCGGATAACTCATAACGATATTTTTGTCACTTATAGATTTGAAAAGAGAGGAAGATAAATAGATTGCATTCTAAAAAATTCTGTTTTCTGACACTCGTCGAATTTATTGACTTAAAGAAAACATGAATTCGTCGTCTCAATTGAGACGACGAATTTTACTTTCTGTTTTGACGAAAATACTGTCGGGAAAAATAGACATTGTGCGATTACAGAAAATTACAACAAGTATTTATATGTGCAAGGTTTTGTTTATAAATAGTAAATGAAACAAATGGATCGCATAAAGACGCACGAAGAGATTACAACAGAACGCTAATAACATTCTTGTGAAAAAAAAAAACTATCGAGTTCCGCATTTTTTCCTTGAACAAAATTTACGAAACATGCAGCAGGATCAATTTTACTCACCTCGCCAGCTCACTTTGATCGGACATGTGATTGTCTGATTCTTAATGAGATACGCGTTCAGTGACGTTAGGCTCGGACTTTTTCGTAGCGTACCCTCGTCGTTTTTCCACACGTACGTAATCGCTGTCTGTTCGTACGATACTGAAAAATAAAAATGTAAAATTGTTTTATTAACAGAGACACACACTCGTATGTGTGCGGAAGATAGCGTTTCTTTATTACCGCTCGTATCCAAAAGCTATTTCATTCTGAACGGCGCGATACTCACTGCTTTCAATCGCGAATGAACACAATGGGTCGTCAAAGGGGAAGATATTAAGTCTACCCTGGCAGGATAGGATAAGGTGACGCCTGTAAAATGGTTACATATCTATTTAATTGAATACGAAGTGAAAAAAATTTCAATTATTTAATATCGATCCCAAAGAGCTATTAAAAAACCCTCACATAGTAAAACTTATTCGAGAAGTTTTTCAAACGTTTTATATTCGCACTTTATTTTCAAGAGAGAAAAATGCATATCTCAAACATGCGTATTTTGTGTTTCTCGAAGAGTTTGCGATATAAAATATATCTCTGGGGTTGCACAAAGAGAAAATCAGTTTGACAAGTACCGCATAAGGTAGTTGACGGTGCCGTTGCGGTATATCCGCAGGGCAAAGTGAACGGGGATGATGGGATCCTTGAAATCACCATGCATTATGAAATACGTATCCGGTAACCAGATATCCTCGTAATGGTGAATTGCATTTAAAAACTCATATCTGGATCTGTTGCTATAACGCAATCGTGGATCGTACCACTGTTGCTGCAGTAGAAATTCCACCTCGTATTTCTGCGGAGATAAGAAGGCAATTGGTGCGCGCGGTTGACATAAAAATTTTTCTTATTTTATTTCACAACTTTGTCGCGACTTCTTGACTTTTTTTTTTTTTTTTTTTTTTTTTTTTTTTTTTTTTTTTTTTTTTTTTTTTTAATAAATTAACATTGTCGTTACAAATTGTCGTCATTTGTGACTATACTCATTTAATTGATCATCGTCATATTTCTGTATTAAACTAACGCGAAATGAAAGGACGTAATGACATTACCAGACTGGACTCGTCGGGAGAAGCCAAACTCAACAGCAACACACTCACGTTTACAGTCAAAGTTCCTGAAACAGCAAACGAGTATAACTTTATCTGTTATATGCCGGATTCTCCGATCGATCACGTTGCGATGATGTTGCTATTGTTTTCATTTAGTCAAAATGATATATAGAAGTTAAATATCTCTAATGTCTTAAAGAAAAAAGAGACATTACTATATTAATATATTTTATGTCTTGGCGAATGAAATATTTTACGATGAATTCATGCTATGCAGACGAAGACCTCGCTTGAAAAAATTACTCTTTTTTTCTTGCATCTTTTTAACAAGTTTCGTTTCAGTATGTTCTTTATATTACCGGAGAGGCATCTCGAAATAAATTGCATTTTACGATGTATATCAAACGATTGCTAATGTCGGACGTAGATCGATCGGATGCGGAGTTTTTTCATCGTATGGAAATTGCACGACGCAATTTCCATGCAATTGTAAACCATAGAAAAGAATACATCCTTCCACGGTAAAAATATTGTATTAAGGTCTGGCTTTATTATCTCAACAAAAGCTGATGCTGTTAAGGAATACGCTGAAAGCTTTTCTCTTCGAGCCATGCTGTGCACATGCTTGCTATTTACTTGGAAAGAAGCTTGAGGTCGTGGTTAGGACTCGGATTGGCTTACGAACTTTATCCTAAAATGGCTATTGTTGGTTACATGTTCTCTCTTCCCCGTTAAGAGGAATAAAATCTCTCTCTTCTGAGATAATAAAACAAATGAAAAAACAAAACGTAATTGCTTGTGTGGTAACGTCGCAACGAGTGCTTTTTGGATTCCGCCGCGATATATCACCCAAAAAAACAAAAAAATAAAAGAAAAAACAATCAACAATGCCATCTAGTCATTAATATCATTGCCATCACCTATAAGAAACAGATACACTTGCGAAACATATGATATCTTGCTAGAAAAAGTACGTGTAGATATATCAGTCACACTACGAATAATAACGTCATTAACGTCACACAACAATTATATCATAATGCTATATATATATATATGTATATTATTACATAACAAGAAACTGTATAACTGTATATAAGCTAGATAAAACAGATTTCATTCTCGTCAGAGTTGAAAAATATCAACACAATATGTACTTTATACTGAAGGGAAAAGACGGGGTGTTTACACTGTCTACTATATATATGTATGTATGTATAAAACGGCATATTCTTGCGAGAGACAATGAAATTGTCCCCGCGGAAAACAATTTGTTCCTAGATACAAAACGTCTTCGCACGAATGTTCCAATTTGTCAAGGACTCGAGTCCCAACCAGCGAGCCGACCAACAGCGCCGTCATGTGTTAACAATTAAGATAGATTTGTTTACTGCGAGAAAAATTAGAAAGAATATGGAATTGGAGCGGAGAATTATGTAGGATGTGATCTTTCCGAAATTCGTGCCGACGGATAGATACATATAGCATTCCTTATATAGCCGAGTATATCAGGCAAACTAAAAGAGGTACGTCTAATTTGTTATGATCCACTTTTTTATTACGAGAGAGATCATATATCTGAAAAACACTCGAAACAAAAAATTCATAATTTTTCATCATCATTTTCTAATCTCGACGCAAACGCTGTGCGTTTACATTAATCGTGAAATACATAATGAACAACTTCATGGAAAAAAAAGATGTCGATGCGTGTTGCCAATCCATAAATAAATACGTCAGCGTCGGCTTTCGATAAGAACGTATCGTACATGGCAAAGCGAGCATTAATAGGTCGATGCATCGAGCACGAAAGTCGAGCCACCTTGACTGGGAATGTAGATCCTGCGATTGGCGACCAACTTTTATACCGTGCCGTAACACACGATCGATTGTAACTCGGCTACATTTGTGCGGCCGGTGCGAACTGGGTGTCGCGTTCGCATCACGATATATAGCTTATTTATCGAGCCGGATTTCGTCTGATGGTTCTTTTTATTAAGCGCATCTGGTTTCGCAGTCATCGAAACACGACATCGGATCTTCTCACGTAAGTTTTACAAGGAATTAATTCGAGCACGCTAACACAACTATAACGAAAATGTAGAAAAATGCAAATGCCCGAGAAGCTCGGGACAATTCCGTGTGTGTCGCATTTTCTTTGAATTATCGGAATTATAATATGTTCGATTAATCGGTTTTTACATCGACGTTGTTTTTTAAGTTTCTGAACGAGAAGTTTATTCTCTTTTTTTTTCCTCTTCGACACAGAGGGACGGGAAAGACTCTTTTTTCTCTTAATAACATATTCTCGCGTTGAAAAAAAGTGTAAATAAGATTTGTTAAAAGTATAGTGCATCTCTGAGCGCACCGGTGTTTTAATTAAAATAATGTACATCTCTCGGGATGAGAAGTCAGGAAATAGTGTAATGAATGAGAAACAATTTGTAATGATTGCAAAGTGAGGGAAGGTCCGCTGCCACAACTAAACATACACATCACAAGTCACAGTCACAGACACGAGCTCATATTACCAATCATGGTTATATGTATATATATGTATGTGTGTGTGTGTGTACATATATATGTCTCTCTTCCTCATCGCACAATTAAACATCGAATTTACATCGTCATTCCTTGATTGTTTAACAAAATGTGAAATTGTTATCGTCAATATTTATTTGTCATTCGTTTATCTATGCGTGTATGTGTGAATGTTATCGGATTTTTGTGTGTGAGGTTGCTAAAGTGCTAAAATTGTATGGCGAAGGTTTAGGTCGACGATATCGATTGTCGATACCAGTGCTAATGCATTCGGCAATAATTAGACATTGGTATTCCAACGATATTCGTGCGCGACTTTCCGTTCTATTAAGTCAGTTTTTTTTTTCATTATTACGCAAAATCTCGATAATGAATAAATACGCGGATTTCATTAAACTGTATTTTATGATTAAGGTTTTGAAATTTCAATGTGTGCATTTAACGACAATATAAAATACTCTTTTAAATATCTCTCTATTAAAAACCGTTCCGATATTTTGTACATGTATAAAACTTTTTGTACGTAAATTTATATGATGAAGACACACGTATGCTATGTGTGTATATATGTGTATATATAATCTAACCGACCGGTAAACCCTCGCATAGAAGGTCGATACACGCCCCATTCAGTACTTAACTCGACCAGCTATCAACTAGTGATCAATAGTCAAGTCTACAATTGTATACTCACGATAATACTACCGTACACTTTCCCAAGTGCTTTAATTATTTTTTGTCAGCAACTGTGACTTTTGTTAGAGAACTTGGTTAATTGTCATACCACACAGATAATTATCTACATAGAGCTATCATTCAAAATAAATAAATAAAAGTTTATCTATTAAAAAAATATATAAAGTGTTGAATGTATACAAAAATGATAGTGCAACCATCGTTTCTTTTCATCTTTCCAACAGTTTAATTCTTCAAACTGTTAAAAAACTTTGCGATTTGCTTTATTAATCACAGGTTCTATAGGCATGTTAAACAGCTTCGTTTATTCGTGTACTTGTTCCGAACTAATTATTTTTCTCTCTCTCTCTCCTTTTTTCTTTTGACACAAAGATCGAGTCCAGGTACTGAATAAGTTGAGTAGACCAATTTGAATTGATCAAAACATCGTAGTATAACGGTGAGTTATATCTTCTATACATGGAATATGTGTGTCATTACGTAGTTAGTAAGAAATAGAAGTTAAAAGAACGGACCGCGAAGGTGATTGCGGAGGTATTGGTGCGGCGTGTAGTGGTTATTGTTCTGGTTCTTGTTCTGGTTCACAGGGTTGTTAAAGAAGATCGACGACTGGTTTGTCAAGCCGGTGGTGTCACCAGGCCATCTCATTCCGCAGCAGAAATCAGCATCTGTAACACCCAACAGCCCTTGCGCACGTCTTATCCTCATTTTTTTTTGTGCATTCTTCATCTATCCCATTTAAATGTACGGCTTCAAAAAAGCCGCTTACAGACATATCCGCGAGATCTGTCTTCTTCGTTTCATATTCTTTTTTTTTTTTTTGTTTTGTTTACGTCTCTGGATCTCGATTTTATATTTTACGGCTTATATTTTACGGCACGAACGAGAGAGAGAGTTTAAAAGATCATCGCATGACATTTCGAAGTTGTATATACATAACTTCTAATCCGCGCGTATTTCTCTTTCGTTTACTTAATAGTCTTAATTAATATGTTGTTGTGATGCATTCGGCGGGTATATGGGGTTACGATAGTGTGATATCGTTATGGAAAATAGTGTTCTGAATAATGAGAACTGTGTTTAGATTTTCAAGTGTGAGTGTGTTTGTGTACACGTGTTTTCTTTTTCTACGACACCAAACAACCTTTGCCCACACGTTCCATTCTTTTCTCAGAATTAATTTTACACAACGTGAGAAGAATGGGAGAGTTTTCCTTTTAATCGTTTCATGCATTCGTAAGAAATTTTCGCTGTCCGTGAATTATTCACGGGATATCTCAAGGTGCTTTGCGCGGATCGAGGACACTCCGCAAAAGAATCGGTAATAATCTGTGTTGTTGCGCGACACATATGAAGCCGTTCCACTGATGAAGTCTGAATAATGCAATCTTCGTACAGGTGGAGTGCACTTCACTTTTTGAATGTATCCAGCTTTCTTCCCCAAGCGAACAATTCGATTTATGCGGTTTGATTTTTTTTCGTCGCATATACGCTTGATCATCTATTCACACGACAAAACACGAACAAGTTGAAAATTCACTTATATTTTTATATATAGTGATTGAAGATATATGTGTAGTATTTGCTAATATAACAGTTAAAATTTTTATTCAACGAAGCACAGCGTCGTATAAAAAATCGTGAAAAAATTTTCTCAAAGTATAGAAAAAGCGTGCTGTTCTTTTACGTGTCTACTTAAACTTATCCCGTTTCCGTGAGAGGATTCTATTTTGCCAACTCGCTCAAATCTGAATTAGAGTTTGATTAATTGCGGAACAGATTACTGGAATTTCGCTTCATAGATTGCATGTGTCACTGTTCAGCAGGTGTTAATAACTGGATGCTGGCACCCGTTTTCAACCCACATAAATACAGTCGTTACCGCGATATGAACGTGAAGCTGTTAATAACTCTTCCAGTTCTATCAAGAGAGTGTTATAAATGTATATAAATATTATTGTTTGGCGTACTTCCAAGGTTCTCAATCGAATCGTGATCACACTCACGTTAATTACGAACCATGGCGAACGTCGTGCGCGCGTTCTATATATGAGACAAATGGGCGCTGCGTGGCAATAAAACAGTTCAAAAATTTCCAAAATTTAAATCATAATTAACAAAACGGCACAAAAAGGAGCTTTTAGATCGGTTTTGTTCAATAATATTATTTTTGGAATATTTCTGCTCTTTGTGAGATGCACGGAAAAAAGCTACAAAATAAAAAACCTTAAGTGAAACGAAACGTAATAAACGATTTGTCGTTACTTGTGTCTCTCAAGTGGAAAACCAATTAAAAAAACCGAGAAAACTCAAAATGCTTTCAAGCTAATAATTAAATCAAGATTTAATGAAAATAACGGAAGAAACGAGACCAGTTCTCGTACGAAAGTCATACGTGAATTGTCCGTTCGAGCACGTCTCTCGCGCGTCCTAATTTCCTTCCTTTGCATATGTTTCCTTCATTTTTTTTCGGTCTTTAGAGCACAAATTGATTCAAAGAGAGTATATAACTCTTATAACGAGGAGTGAGCAGTGAGCTGTGGTTGTGTGGTGCTGTGTGGTGGTAGCGGTGCCGGTGATGTTCGAGGTGCTCTGGATGATCATTGGGGAGTCAATTTTGGATACGGATAGGTGTAGTCGCCTTTTGATTTTGTGAGTGATTGGGATAGGGGCCTCAGTGTACCTTGGACCGGGGGCAGAAGCCGCTTGTCGTAACGCGTCGACAGCAGCAGGTTGTCCAGGATCTCCTTGTCCGACTTTCCCTCCTCGAAGCTGCAACACAACGCACTGTAGGCGCATCCGGAAGGAACCTGGCGAGCTTACGGTGTGGTGCGGTAGGTTTTTTTCCCGTGAGCTTCCGGCAGGTGGCCTTCCTTATCTCGATACCTCGAAGGTCGTTATTACTCGCTCGATCTCTCAGTAGAGAAGAAAAAAAACAAAGTGTGCCAAAATATAAAATTTCGAAGTAATAAACACAGCGGGACATCGATCTTATCGAGCCAACAACGCGTCGTCGACCTTCGAGGTATGCGAGGTTGATTCAAGTAAAAATTGCGGTTTACGTTCTGAGTGTAAAACTTATATGTCGCATTCGTCTGAAATTTGTATGTACATATAAAAAGTCTACCAAAGTTGAGTAACGGAAACAGAAACGTAGCTCTCTCTAAAGCGCTATACGAAATTGCATCTAGCTTTATCACGTTACGTACGATGATAAAGTGAAACTACCAGAGTCACACGACTGCTTGCTCTGCCTCGATCGTGACTAAATCACGATCGCTAAACTTCGCCACTGGTCTACTTGTGCTAATGCATTCGATGCAATAGTACAGATCGAAACATTCGTAACACGAATATATGTATATGTATATATATATATATATATGTATATTATACGTATATTATATTCTCGATTTCTTTCATCGTCAGTATTAATCGCGTCATTAGAAAAAAATAGGACGAAGTACTGACAACTCTATTCTCGATCCATAAAAATTCTAGATTAACACGGTTTTACATGCAGAAAAATCGTCGTAAGTCCCATCACGCTCTCTTCGATTAAGATTCCGACGAAATAGCAATAGAACTCGAGTTCGTCAAGTAGAGATCAATTACAGATATTTATAACAGCGCTCTAGAAAAAAAGGAAGGAAGTAGTATAGTACTGGCTATCGACATTGCAGTTGTGTTGGGCATCGATCGCGCGCGGTGTGTCGTAACTGTTAGCCGCACAATTGAAGGGCTCAAATCAATATATAATACTAAAAAAAAATCAAGCATACCGAGCCATGTATTCTTGACGCGGAAAATCTGTACGGAATAATAAATCCTTTCCATCAAATATGAAAACAAGATTATTTTTTTTCGTTCGGATTCCGTTTATATTATTCACCGAGTCGACAACTCTAATATCATCAACATTAACAAAACGGAAGGCGAGTGGAAATACAATTGCGTAATGTATCAATCATTGCCAACAATACTATCTTCCTCCCTTCTAAGGAGCAGAATGTGAATGTTCTACGACAATACAATCGCACCTAGCTTCTCAACTCGTCATTTATCATCGTATAATATTTCCCTCATATAATCTCTCTCTTCTTACATGTCCTCAAGATCGAAGCAAATTGCGAGACGACGACCGAGAAGCTAAGAGACGATACAACATGTCGATTGTCTTGTTGTTGCATGTAATACGTACATGTCCTCAGCACGCGCGAGAGTGACGAGAGTAAAGGCAAGTGTGAGGATACAGAGGGAGGTGAAGATGAGGGAGCTCGCAAGGGAGGTGAGAGACAGCGAGAGGATGGACGAGAGGCGGCCGCCACCACCCGCACACCGCCCTAGCGCCACCCAACCCATTCTATGTCATCTGAAACAGAAAAGTAGCATTTTAGTAGCATCTCAGATGGAGAAGAGCCAGACTATGTTGAGAATATTAGTGTGTATGTGTGTGTGTGTGTGAATTGTTCCTCTTCTTTTCTCGCAAACATCCAGTTTTCGGCAAAGAAAAAAGGATTAAAAGAAATTTCAGAACTCTTGGGTTAGGGATAACTCTGTTTTAGATTGCCTTCTTAGCACAACTAAGGTTTTTCTAATAGACCGAGATCTATCAGCAAAGCCTTGGCTTAACCAGATTGCTACGGCAATCCACTTAGGGGACGAAAGCTCATACTCTAATATTGATGGTAACGCCGTTCGTCCCGCACACGATACACACAGCTTTGCGCGATCACTTTTCCGAGTCGGTAAATTTCAAATCGAGTAACACCGTCCGCTCGTAAAATGGTTGAGACGTAATATCGAAACGTACATAGGATTTATACGCGTGAAGACACATGGAGCGATTTTCTTGCAAAAAAATATACACCATGCAAAGGGTCTAGTTCGATGTAACTTCATTTCACGCAAGAGACAGAATTTAAAAATAAAATTTTATACGTATCTCTCTTGCAAAATTGTAGACGTATAAATAACGTGAGAGAGACTTTTTATAACCGCATTATATAATCACAAACACAAAATGATCGATTGCCTGCAAGACATCGATTATCTTATCCATTAATTCCATTCAATTAAATTTGCTTTCCCTGTTTTTTTTTGTTAAAGAATTGCTGCGCGCTTGCCTCGTATAGACCTGTTCTTAGCTATAGATGTTGATACAGCACAAACTTGGATTAGTATATACGGCCATAAGAAAATTATATCGGTAGCGCGCGCGGTGTGTGTTGTATGCACGTGGTTGTAACAACACACTTGCATACGCCACCCTCGCGAATACGAAACTCATTGTGACACACTTGAGACCATGTGTTAAATCGTTAAATATTTAAGCCATTCGACAAAGAGAGGCATCATTTGAAAGGGTCAAGTATACAGAAGTAATTGCACTGCTTGTTTACGTCCACAATACTTAACAACACGCGATAAAATTAGTGCGGGTGCTGATAATGTGTACGTAATAATCGATAATAACACCCATATACCTACTAGACGATAAGGACCGTTAGAGATGCACGTCTGTAATTGCCTGTATATAACATCCAATATATAACTATGTGATAAGAATGTGTGCATCGTCATCATCATCATCATTATTATCAAAATGTAATGAGTTAATAACAGGAAATTGTGTACGGAACGTAATCCGTAAAAATTTTATTATTTCAATTGTATCATGTTTTTTACAACTCGGATTCGCTGAACAGCTTTAGTAGTGTTAAATCTCAAAACAAAGCCACAAAGAGAAAAAACGAAAGAGAGAGAAAGAGAGAGAAAGTAATTAATTACACATTCCATTTGAGCAATTAATTCCGCTAGATGTTAAAGTCTATTAATAATGTCGTGCGGTGTATTTAATTTTTTGTTCAACAATATGGAAAATATGTGACCTTTGTGTTTCACGCACGCGCGTGTTTTTTTCTTGCGCCCTTCGAATTTGAATTTCAAATTTAAAAAACTGTGACCAACAAACAATCTCTCGAAACAAACAAAAAAGAGCAAAACATTCGAAGACGAGCGCTGACGCAAATATATTTTTTGCTTCTCTTTGCATATCGGTGAAATTTCAGTGCTTTACGTCGATCAGGGGAACGTTATAACAGTGACACATTGACATCATTGTGCGAAGGGAAAACGGAAAGAGGGCACCGCTCGCGTAAGTAGTAGTGGGCAGTGGTAGTCAGACCGGCGGGCGTCCACGCTCTGGTATAAACGCTACCAACAGCGTACAGCTGATGCCGTCCGATCAATACGGGGCGTTGCGGCACGAAACGCTCTATAGACTACTACGTCACGTGGTGGCTCAGCTTGTTCCATTCTGAGCGAGATCGCGCGCAACTCGTTTTCACGCTCTGTTCACGCTCAAGCTTCTTTGTGCGACCTCACAAATCTCAGCGTCCCATCTTTGTCCAAGCATTCTGTCGTCGGAAGTATAACCCCTTACATTGCACACACACACACACGCACACACACATACGTGCGCGAACCAAATTTCTGTAGCGGTACTTCGTCTTTTCACGACATTAATTCCTGAGCGCGAGGAAGTATCTCGGATAACACAAAGCTTCGCGAAAAACGTCGACAAGCTATTTCGAGATCGTCGGAACGTATTTTTTTTTCAACCATATTTTACAATGTTCCCTTTCAATGAAAACTCGGTCCCGCGGAGTTATCCGTTAATTAACGCAAAACCAGCTCCGGCGACAAAAAGAAATTTTCTGCATTTCTCTTACGCGATCGTAGTTTTGTTGTTCTTCGTGATTCTTTTTCGTGAGTTTTATCATTTGGCAGTGAGAGAACTTGACCGCGTTAGCAAGTATCTGTTAACTCGGACTTATCGACGCGGCTAACGTCGCGAGGGAGGAACTTGACCGTTAAGTTGTCGAGTACAATGGTCGAGCGGGGGTTCGCGGGGATCGACTTCGTCGGGGCTGTTTAATCGCGTCGTAGCACGAGTCACGTCGGCAAAACGGCACGAGGAATCACGCGAAGCCGAAAGGACGAGCAGGGTAAGAAATAGGGTGAGGGACAAGGTTGCGGACGATGCGGTATAATCACGGGAAGGAAACGGAAATCGCCAAACGGTGTCACTGGAACACAAACAGGGAGAAAACGTGTCTGCGTGCGAGCGAGACACGAAAAAGATGCGTAATCGCGAAAGCAAATGCGAATGACGGAGACATTATAAAACCTTATTAAGTAAAAATTTAATCAAGTACTCCGCCATAAAAAAACATAATTCTTTTGTAAGATTTTTACTCTCAATCTCTGTAAAAGATCTTTTAATCTTATTTCGGCTTCTATAAAAAACAAATTCTTTAAAGTAAGTGTTGGCACAAAAAAATGGTGTGCTGTATAACTGTACAATTATATATACATATTCGCGTGCCGACGAGTCTTCGCCAACGTTTTCAAGTGTCGCATTTTATTAGAACACAACCGGACAATAAAAATAAAAATCACCATTATTACCTTTCCCAAGTAGTAGCGTATCATATCTCAGGAGTAAAAGAAAAATCAAATTCTTGCGCATTTTGTGTAATTTCTTTCCAATATACTATGTTATTTTGTGTATATTTATGTTATCGCGGTACATATGGTTTTAACTGTTACCTTAACGTGAGATATGTAGCTAGTCGCAATGGACGAGGCAGGCTGTTGCTATTCGTTGTGTAGATTGTCCCCTTCAACTTTTACGAGCACTCATTCTCGCGTCGCTCGGCTCCTCTTCATCCACTTTTTTGCGAATGGAAGGCCCTTCAGCGTTTCATTGTTGTCTCAGTGCAAACAAGTTGTCGGTACCATCTAGAAAAAAAAAACACACAAATTCGGCTAGTTACAACGTGATGTTTTACAATAACGGTTTTTCATGAATAAATCCTTTCGCGACCACCGAGAAGTATGAACGTTTTTTTATTTTGTCAGTCAGAAACAAATTGTTGTTTGACATTTGCTGACACAGCGCCGCAATGGCCGACTCGTGTATAACGAGACGTTTTTTTTTCTTGTTTTTATTTGCATAGACATGCCGCGAAAAATTCCAAAAATGTTACATTCATAACTAACGGTGTGTGCGGAGCCGTGTCAAGCCGTCGCAATTGCAAGAATGCAATCCGCCGCGATGGTCTCATATGCGCGGTCGAATTACACGGAGAAAATAGTTGGAAAATTTAGGACAGCGCAATATTTGTGTATTTCGCAACTTCATTGAAATGAGAGAAAAAAGTAAGTATAAATAACTTAAATGTGACATTTTCTATTATATCTCGCCGCGCACGAAGTTGGCTTATTTGCAAGATGAAATGTACCGTGAAACAACACATTTTACAAACGTGCTTTCGTTAAATTATCGCCGAGCGAGGTGAAGCACCAATTTAATTAGCAAGATGAAGAGCATCAAGTTAAATTTTAAATACGCTCGCACAACGTCTGTTTGAATTTGCGAGCATAACGTGCACAATTACACGAGTAATTTTTCTTTTGAAAGAAATAATTGTTCTTCAAAGAAAACTAATCCGAAGAACCGAACTAACACGGTAATCTCGTGGTTGTCGGAGCACGCAGGTCCGTTAACGCGACCCTGGCCGTGCGCGGCGGCTACTCCTGTTTCGTAATGCCATCGATAACGTGTGCGCGCTCTTATCGACCCTTATATATTTTACACCGCACACGAGCACCTTACATTTTCTTGGAGAAATAATGAATATACACTTGCGCGATTCGCGCGCGATTATTTATATCGATAAGAGACGCGAGAAGGAAGCGATACCTTCCGCCAACCTTGACACATTAAATGGCGGTTGTAATCTATCGCGAGAGAAATTCAGAAGAGCAAGCTGAAAAACAAGCTGCGCGCATAATAATTTTGCGCAAAAATATTGTATCTGTAAAAAGAACAGATTTGCGAAAAGTGTCTGTATAGGAAATTTCAGAAATTTCGCGCTCGTTTCTTCCTTGCGGAAGAGCGTAGGAGGAGCGTGTCATTTGTATCGGGGTACGCGTCACAGAAGTGCACAACTTTCATAAATCACTTATTAATCGGCTTGATCGCTCGACCAAGATCGACCGCAAACCGGGATGAGAAAAAATTACGTGAGAACGAATGCATATGGTTTTTATACTTTAGTATCCGCGGAAATAGACGCGGGCCTTCCGCCTCCTGTTGTTTTTTCCCAGCATTTATCTTCGGCATGGAAGTCTCGCAAACGTGTCTATATTTTTATATATGATTGTATACAATTTTGCATGCTTTACACTGTTGAGCATTGCGTATATATAAGTTGCTTTGCAATATTCCAATGATTTAGTGGATGGATTTAGAGCTAATTGAGTAACTCTCTTATAGATGTCTTAGTTTCTCTACAGTACAAGCTGATGGCTTTCTGATTGCAAGAGAGTCCGTTAGTTCGATAAAATAAATCATTGTGCATTCTTTGGGAAATCAAATTACGCATGCACCAGGCTTAACGTTCGTACGTTTTTCACGTAGAGATATCGCCTTCGTTCATCGACATAAGACGAGAACGAAAGAAAAAAGAATTTCATTTATTTTTTACATCGACAAGTGAAATCGATCGTTGAAACCTATCTTGCATTTCTTTTGTAAAAGGTAATCATGGATTTTACCGCAACCTTCACCCATCTACCGCCTGTTTCGAGTATAGCTGACGAACTAATAAGACATCCCACGCACTCCGCGGATTAGTCACGAACGTCTGGATTGATTCGTGAGAATAATTCAGCGCAAGCGGTGAAAAGTAAACGTTGCATTTTGTATATCTCGTGTCTGAGAACTTCAACATCAATTCTCACGAGTTTTACTTAAAAACTGTTCGATAATGTCACAGAGACCGTCCCGTTTTTCTATGCACAAGACGATATGAAATATATTATTTTCTCGTTAAGAAGATGTCCTTTGAACGTGTATAGAGCGAATATAGGCACACGCGTGATATATTCGCTCTGCATATAAATTTTTTTATTACACCTGGGGTGAAGGCCACAGTAAGAGCAAAGTTATGTGGTTACATAATAAGAAGTTTTCAATATACATATAGCACTATGATTGTGGTGTTGTCTTCTACATCACGTTTCCGCATACTCAACATGTAACTTCTACTTGCGTTTGTTTCGAAAAAAACGTGTGTGAGATTCTATTTATGTTTTTTTTCAAGATTGTTTTCAATTTATCACTTGGGCGAATCACTTTCAGATAATTTTTGTTTGATCTCAAATTTATATCGATCACTCTTACGTACAATTGTACAGCAACTACGATTGTCGGAGCGATTGTTATGGTATTTCGATAATGGTTCGGGAAGAAAGAAATCCCTCCCGCAAAAAGGAAGAAAACAACTCGCCGCGATATTTTCCGAGTATGATTAATGTCAAAATAAAAAAAGCTTCCTCACAAGCATGTTCATTTATTATAATAATACGCATGTGCTTGAATTATTGATCAATTGTAACAATGATTGCCGAGGTACGATAACAAAAGAAAAAAAAAATTCGCAATGATCTCTGATATCTCGGGCTGCGGCTTATCGCGCAGTTTTCTGACCTTAATCTAACGCGTCGCCAATATACACACACATATATATATATATATATATATCGCGATCGCTTCATTCATCAAATCACGCCGTGAATGCGATAATGATGCATTCAAATAGTTGAGACCGTGCCAATAACCCGGAGTATCAATGTTTCGTGAGTCATTCATCGATCTGCGATACACGAAACTAGCTTAGTAATAATAATTCTCTCTGAATAATTAATATTAACATTAACTCGTAATAGAAGAATTGTCTTTCTCTTTCTCGTTAATGCACAGTATCATCGCAATACAAATGAAGAAAGAGGAAGAAAAGACAACGAGTTAAACATCACTTTTCTTTCATGTGTCAGTGTCCTCTCGCGTAAAATGGTAGATTCATGCCTACGCCTCCGACAAAAGTTTGCTTGTTTCAAGACAGTAACCTGTTTCGTTGTGGCCATGACACAGTAGTGTCTTTTCGTGCCAGCCAGACCGACGACGCACGCAGCCAACACGCCGAAAGTAATCTTTTTCAACTGGAACTCATATACTCGCATGTTGTTGTGTGGCGCTTTTTTCCACATGCGTATGGGTGTACTTTGACCTCTCTAATATAAAAATAAAGTGGCTTATGTTAGAGAGATTTCTCGCGTGCAATATTTTCGCAAAATATTTTCCATGCAAAATATTATACCGAGTATCGGAAAACTGTGCAGACTGGAAACATTTACTTTGCATTGAACCTTTATTGGCTCGCTTTTGTATAATACTTTCTTAAATAATAAAATAATACACTCTATTTTTGTAGAAATATTGGACGAAATATATGAATAACGATATGATCGCACGTGTACGCGATATGTGGTATAAACTTTCTCACTGCTGAAGCCCCGCGTAAGGTCATAAAAGCGACGAGCGTGGCATCAACGCGGCGATGTATCGAACTATCGCAGTAGTAATGCCGACGAAGGTCAGACGGTCTGTCTGACTCAGCCGTGGTTGCTTTCACTCGGTTAAGTGTGAAAGCAACCTTACAACTGGCGACGATTTCCGGGATAAGAGAGCGTATATTTTTTTACCTCGATTGAGTACGTGTGCGCGATTATTGGCACAAATTCTGTTTTCTTGAATGTATCCGAGAAATCAATACGTATATGCATTAAGCACTGATACACTCTAGAGATCTTTTATGTCCGCGTATTTTGCATAGCGTGCGAATTTTGAACGGGCTTCAGCAGCCGATAGTTTCCGTCGCACCATTCACGTGCCAAAGAATATTATTTGTAATCGAGCTTGTTAGAGGAAATTAGTCACGTTGTATTTTGAGAACGCACGAGGAACTCAAATCGCAATTAGTCGCGTTTTGATACGTTTTTTTAATTAATATCATCTGATCGACCGTGTTTTCATGATTATTCGTCAAGTTTATTGTTGCAGATTGTAATATTTTTATTTTGTTTATCTTATGTCAATTATTGTAAACATCAGAGTTTTATATATATATATATTCAAAACGATGAAGTAACAGTAAAGTGCATCTGCATATCTTTGCCAAGTTCTTTTGAATGCTGTGATGCTTGGCATGAAAAGCTGGCATGAAAATGTTCTAAGGCATGCATAGCATAGATCTTTACTTGACGTTTCAACTGCATTCTAGAAGTAGATATTTCAAAGATGCTTCTGAATTAATTGTAGATTGTTTATTAATGTCTCGAGCTGCTTGTAAGAGAAAACATAGCATCACTCGTCTTCTTGCAAGCTATTGATAAATAAATTCCAATTATTAAATTATATCGAGCAACAATTGTTCTTTTTGATATTAACGATTATTGGCGATTTGTCACACAATAACTAGGAAACTTGGAAAACGAAAGCAATAAAGGGACACACTGCGTGGCGAAAACAAAAGTTGCATCAAATTTAAAAACTTCCACGCCGCCTATAAAAGTTTAATCGCCTTTGTCAGCAAACTTCGAAATATTGAACGTGTTATTATCAATATAATCAATCAAACGGGGGTGGGAAATTTAATATTGAGAGTCGATTTTACGGTGAAAAACGTTAGTCGTAAAAAAACAATTCCGTTATGTGATTTATTGCTGATTGTATTCTCGAATTGATTCGCGAACGGAATGCAATCAACGCAAATCCGTATAGCGACAGGGCGCAAGCAAAGCCGCATTGTGTCTATTAGCATTCGGAGGAGGTCGCTGCAGCTTCATTAATAGAACAACGTTGAATCTGTAGCTGAGAACGGTATCGCGTACAA